CCCCCCCCCCCAGGGCTCGTCGGCGAGAACACCGCATTGACCGTCGATCGCGATCGCGCGACGACGACGACGAATCCCTCCACCGTTCGCGGACCGGAGATCGATCGATGATCGGTTTCATCGTCCCGTACGTGTCTCTCTGCAATCAGAGCAGTCCGAAATGTCTCGACAATCACGATATGTCTTGAGATAAGGCGTGCAAATCACAAAAATGATTCGCACGTACACACAAAGACGCGAGACATTTTTAGACGAGGACGTTTTGTCGCTCAGGTTGCCCGCCGCTTGACTCTCGTTGATCATACAGCGGAATCTCAAGCCTTCGACGAAATGTGAGTACACGTTGCAGGTGGACTCGCGGTAGGAAGAACGTGGGGCCACCAGCACCACCACCACCACCACCACCACCATCACCACCACCACCACCACCACCACCACCACCACCACCAACCACCACCACCAACCACCGACCCACTACCGATCAGCCGCGACACCGACTTGTTAACAGCAACAACGAAACACATCACACATCACTCTCTTTTAGAGGCCGTGCTTTAGTCAGAGTCGTGCGAGTCTCTCGTGATTGTTGTCGGAAAATACTCTCTTTCTTGTGCAATCAAGTTTTAAAAGCCGGCACGGTGCGACAGGTCGGTGGGGAGCAAAAAAAACAATTGGAAAGAGACTCCCCCATCTCTCTCTCTCGTCGTATATCCATGCCGCCATGTCGCTTGGAGAAACTTGAAGAAAGTATTTTGCGAATCACTGCACGTTTCTTCGAATGGTCACGAGGTGACTCCTCTTTTACCTTTTTTCGTTATCCTAGATCGTAGAGGCTATTTCTGCGTAGCATTGATTTCTAGAGGAACGTTCGCACGAGTTTCCTGGGCTGTAATTTCGCCGTGCGTTTGCCGGGAGTCACGATTCTCTGTCTTGCGTCTGAGTCTCTGGTGGTGCAGTCTCTCCCCCCCGCGCTGCATCGCCAATTGATATGATCAAGATGATGACAACGACGTCGACGATGATGACGCTGATAATTGTGACGATGTGGTGTGTGCGTGTATGCACGCACGCGCGCGCATGTGTGTGTGTGTGTGTGTGCGCGTGAATCACGCAGATCAGGAAACTCAAATTCTAGTTGCACAAGTATAGTTGTGCTGGCGTATTTATCGTGACTCTAGAGTAGTGTCGGCACTGTGTGTCACGTTATAATCGTTCATAATAATCATAACAACAGGCTCTCTCTGTCACGAATCTAGATCGTCGTGTGGTCAATTTGAATTTCTCGATAGCGTCGAGGTAAGTTGGCCACCTGATACGTTACACTTATTACTTCTTAGAAGCCGCTGTTGATACGTGCTTCAGGTGAGAGTGCGCCACTCACACGGCTTTTGATTTCTCGATGTCCTGAATCGTTGCAGTGCTTCTTTATCATCGTATTTATATACATCTCGATATCTCTACATATATATATATATATATACACATATTATATACACACACACACACAAACTATTATTGGACAATCCTTTACATACCGACTTGATAATGACCAAATCTTGATGGCTCTTCGAACGTTGTCGAGTTACCACGTTCAGAGAGCGTTTCGATATTGTATAGTGTGTGTGTATATGTATATATTTGTGTACATAATTATTATATCTGTGTACTTGAGGCGACCAGGAAATTTATGTCGAACGATCACTTAGTCGTAGGTGTGTACATACATCGAGTAACTTTTTCAGAACGACGGCTAATTGAAAATTGGACATCTCTAGCATTGTCGCTTACGGAGGAAAGTGTATTAGCGATATCCTTATACGTTATAGTTGATTAATTTGTCGACAGCTTGCGTGAGCGGATAGAATAGAGACGCCACCACGATAAATCGCTGGAGGCTCACTCATTTATGTTCTCTGCACCCTGTCTGTCGCAGGATGTTGCTGAATCATCGACAATACTTGTTCTTTCCGCCTATCGTTTTTACTCGATATCCGGTGATCTTGAAGCAAGATTATCCTATTATGACTCACGCAAAATGCTATCGTGTCGTTACTCGCGATACGACAGACATTGAAATTCTAAGTCACGCCGTCCACGGTACCGAGATTAAGTATGTCCTCTGTCTTTGATGTCACACACAGAAATGCAAATGCCCGCGCAATATTATCCCGTCACATTTGACCTGAATCGTCACGTAGCCTTGACGAATCCTTCGCACCATTCCCACCCCTTTGCTCACCTGTGTACGCAGTTCAAGTGAGTTATAAAGTTTCATTGCAGCTCTACATTTTACACTGATCATTAAAGTGATTCCGAAAATGAAGAGAGATCGAGCGAGAGAAAGGCGAAAAAGAGCACACGAGGTAGGAAGTTTGTATGAAAAAAAAAGAAAATATAGAAAGAGAGAGAGAGAGAGAAGAGAAGAGAGAGAAGAGGAGAGAGAGAGAGAGAAAGAAAAAGGGAGAAGGAAAGAGAAAAGGAGATAGAGAGAGAAAAAAGAAAGAAAAATAGAAGAGTATAGATGAATGTAGAAGAGAAAGAGAGAGAGAGAGAGAGAAAAGGAGAAGAAAGAGAGAGAGAGAGAGAGAGAGAGAAAGAGAGAAAAAGGTAGCCAATAAAAGTCGAAAATGTCAAAATCGATTCGTATTTTGCGTTCTGCGATTCCATCGCCGGCTACGGAGACGCGCATTAATTAAGATCATTCTGACAGCCCTTGGACCTGGACGAAGGGAACTGCTGCTGCACACCGGGCACACGCGCTTTCGCTCATCAGTGAAGGATAATAGTTTTTAGCGGTATTTCTTGTTTGGTTTACAACGCAGAGTGCGGCGTTGGCGGGATGCTCGTCGTTGGCGGAAGCGCTGGCGCTGTGGCACGCGGTACCGGCTTTGTGAGCCGGAAGCGTAACAGCACGCCGAGCACCATACAACGATCCGAGGAGATCATGCCGACCTACCAACGCTTTGACCCCGGCAAACCGACAGGATCGGCAGCCAGCGATACCGCCGGAAGTCTCAACTCGATTTCTAGTTCCGAAGGAAGCTCGTAAGTAGTGGACTCCAACCTGTGGCGAGACCGATTCTGCAAGCGGAAGCGCGAGATTCCTGATTACATATATACACTCTCTCTCTCTCTCTCTCTCTCTCTCTCTCTCTTCTCTTTCTCTCTCTCTTTCTCTCTCACATACTCTTTCCCCCCGCTCTCTCTTTCTCTCTCTCTCTCTCTCTCTCTCTCTCTTCACATCTTTCTTTCTCTATAGCCATTGGTTTCTATTCTTCTTCGACTTCTTTCTCTTCTCATGTTCTGTCTATCTCCATGTGATATGTCGACAAAAGAGAAGCCGCATGTTGTTCGAAGAGGCTGAGATCACTCATTTCTATCACTGCAAACATTATTTGAAATTATCTTTGAGCAGATTTAAAAAACTGCCAAGAACATACCATGAATTGACTTGTCTTTGTATTTTATTTGGTCAGCAAATGAACATCTCGCAGCTGGCAGGTTAATCGCTTGTCGACATACGCGCGACCGATGCGCTCGATATTCAGGTGGCCAAAAATCCTATTGGAAAAAATGTTAGATACTCAGGTGCCTGAATGTAGAGACTATCTGGTCTGTACTTTTGGGTCGAGTCATAAATAATGACAAATATATTTCTGGTTACGCTCCAATGACTTGCAGTATATATACTTTACACATGTGAAGATAAGTTTATCAAAAGAGAAGAAAAGTTATTAATATGACTCGACAACAATAATAGAGCACTCTGTACGCGAATTTGTAATCTCTTCGTTTCTTCTGACCAGCGGGCTTACTCTTTGTCAATCGCGGTAGATGTCAGCCGCAAGATTGATTTGTACCGACTGACTTGTCCGAATGAACGCCGTCGCAATAATCAAGGTACAGGCGAGGAGTAATCCCGCTGGTCGTCTCTCGTCTTACTTCCTATGTGCGCTAAGAGATTTGTCCACATAAAAAAATTTTGCAGATCGATCTTCGAACCTGCGAGTCGATGTGTCTTTGATATGAACTGTGCAATTATATTGCTGTGGGCGCACACGCTTCTCTTCTCATCCCTCCTTCGACTTCCACCATCTTGTACATACTTTGAATTAATCATGACTTTATTTCGATCACACTGCTTTATTTATTCGTAGGACAAACGAGGCGTGCTCTATTGATATCAGGCCATACCTATTGATATCAGGACCTTTGCACATGAAAAAATATAATTACGTTACTTTAGCGCGAACGAAATGTCCTTACGTTCACTCGCATACCTTTCTTTTCTCTGTCTCTGATTCTTTCCGGCGTGACGACGTAACGGCGATGACTTCGAGATTGCATTTCTCGAGCGCGCGCTTATTCGATTTCTTTTTCTATTCGCGTCAACGATGTACCTTCGTCGCACGTCGATTTTGCAACGCGAGGAGGAAACATGTATGAAAGTGTATAGTCTTCGACGAAGTGGATGGGATTTATATTCTGCTGTCTTATTCTCTGTCTCCTCTTTCACTTCCTCCCGCACTTCTTTCGTCCTTACTCCAGAAAACGAAAGCAGCCCCTTAAAAGATATATTGTCATCCACTTATCGGTGTTGTTGTCGTCTTGGCTTAGTTGCTTGATTGTGGCAAATGATTGTGTCGCATTACTTCGGAGCACCGTTGCACATACAACACGCACTTTTGTATCCACTATATGTCAGTGTGGTCGTTATTGTCACCGAGCCATATTTTCTACCTACATGGTGAGAGGGACACTAACACATACCGTCAATATATATATGTATACATATGTAATATATATCATATATATACGTTGACGCGAAAATGTCGTCCGCAGAATCGTTTGTCCTAATGGTTTTCGCACATTCCCGTGTACCCGAGAGATACATTGCCTTTACGATATATATATATATATATATATATATATATATATATATATATATAT